CACACACACACACCTCGACGAGGAATTTTTTGACCATGCAATCTGGGTCGCCTAGGGCGAGTCTCGGCTGTCATCTGAAGGCTGCGCGCTTGCAAGCACAGCAAAATGTTAATTGGCAAGATGTATCCATATCGTGGCATAGCTCATCCACACTATGGGGTACGGCTTCGCTTCCTCTTCCTCGTGGTAGAAGACGAACTGGAAGTGGCTGTCGCTGACGTAGCAGTTGCCTCAGCGTCGTGTCGTTGTTGAGTTTGCTGAAGATCTTGTTGCTGCTGTAGGGCTCTGTTACGGTCTTTTCGCTCTCTTTCGAACAGCCATGCTCTCGTCACTGGGAACCAAACTCGCTGCCATTGGTTGTTCACTTTGCTCCAGCAATACCTCCATGATGTGGGATGGTCGGTGTTGTCGACATCCCCGGCGCGGTTCATGTCGTTCGTGCTGGCTGCGGCTGTGAGAGCTGAGTGGCTGCGCGATTTTAGCTTGGGTGGGTTCGAACTTATCTGCAAACCAGGTAAACAACAAAAGCTACGCTCAAGAATGGTGGCATTTTTCGCCTGCTTGATGCGTGGTTCGAAGGTCTACTGGTACTCATACTCGCCGACCCTCAGGGACAAAATGTCTGCTTGAGACGCCTGCACACATGTCCATCGCTGAAGTTCTTCATGATAAAGCATGTCTCTCACCAGCAACGGGCAGAATGGGCTTTCCATGGAGAGTCTCGGCCTCAGCCGTTGAAAAGACTCGCTCCTGGGGGGCGAGCAGAAAAGACCATGCGTTAGGCGTCGGTCCATGGTAGCCACTCGAGCTACACACCTCACTTGGATGCTCGTGAGCAGGAGGCTGTAGACGATGTCGGGCGAGACCAACTTCTCGATGAGAGTGTGTTGGGGTCGATAGTCGCGGATCACTGTCGTGTGGTGGGCTTGTGGATGCTGCTGCACAATAGCATCCATGGCACCTTGTACTGCTTGATTGGCGCGCCTCGTTAGGGGAGTGTCTTCCACACTGACGGCCACCATCCTGACTCGGAGCTCCGTGTGAAACTTGAGGATGACTTTTAGCAAAATGGCATTGGTTAATACCTGCTCTGCAGCATCGTGGCCGCCCTCATCGGAGTAGTCAAACGAACTGGAGGTTGATGGCGGGGTTGTGGGCGCCACGGCATCCATGGTCTCTAGCACTGCTACGCTTACCACATGGCTATGGCGGGAGACAGGAAAAAGTAAAGAAAGCGACTGACTGAACGGTGCTCAAGCCTCGGGTGCGCACATCTTGTTTTCAGGCATCGGGCTATCTATGGTATACGCAGAAGCTCACGTACCTCAAGGTCCATGTACTGCTGATAGGAAAGCTCGTGATGATACCAGGTGTGCATCCGCTTGTTGAACAAGTACATCTTGATGTCGATTGGTGTCTCCGCGTGGTTACCCTCCACGGCGCGTCCAGCGCGCTTGTGCCAGGGGGCATTCGACAGGATCTTGCACTCTGTGCTGGTTGAAGTCAGAACTTGACTGCAGCGAAGCCACGTGGCCTTGTTGGTTTGCGCGAGGTGCACGAGCATGCGGAGGTCATGTGTCACTTCCAAAAGAGAATAAGCTGTGATCTCGGTGTGCTGGATGGCCATGTCGCACGCCAAGCTGTGGGAGTCGGCGAGGGCCATCGACTTAACTCTGATGGAGTGATTGTAGTCGTCATTCGAGGCGTCCTGACGATGACATTGATCTGGACGCCTGATCCGACACGACCATACATGGACTTGTTGCCCCATCTGTAGAACTTCCTTCAAAGGGAGGTGATGCAGCTGTAATGTTTCCGGGAGATCCTCCCGCGGGTTGAGTCGGCGACGGCGTGAAGCTCGCTGCTCCATCCATCTGTATAGGTCCATGCGGAGGTGTTCTGTGGGGTGTAGCGAGGTTTTCTATCAACTTGAGGCTGAGCGAGGAAGCGACCGGTTATGTGTGGCGCATGCTGCTCAGAAATTTTAACTCTGCATGCAGTTGTTGCAACTGGGTTGACGCACATGCTGCAAGACAAGAAACTACCGAATTACAAATTACAAATTAAACCCAAGGCTCACAAGGTGATCGATGTCGGAGAGCTCAAGTCGGTTTGTTCGGAGTGGTGTGTACGCGGACAAAACCAGTCTGTCGTCCTTCCACGGGCACGTTGCGTGCTTGGTGAGGGGGTCAAACTCCAATCCTGGCAAGCGAAGGGGATGATTGCGTCCTCAATGTTGTCCTTTGGGGGATAGGTCATGTTCTTCTAGGAGCCAAAGTTCCCGCGACGGAATGGCGAGAGTGGCACGAGCACGTTGGGCGAGCCTGGCTGGTTGTACTTGTCCACGTGGGCGGCCATGTTCACGTTGTGTAGCAGCGAGACGGTGGAGAAGTTGGTGTGCGTGCATGCTCGAACCATATGGGCAAGAAGAGCTGAGGTCCAGGGGTACTTCCTGGTGTTGCTCCGAATCCCAACTGACCCGGCGTGGTAGTAGGCGCCGGAAGAAAAGACCATAGTTGGCGCGCCACGACGTGTGAGTGCGGATGCGCGAAGGAGCTCCGACGGCAACTTCTGCGTTAGCCAAGGAAACACAGACATAGGAAT